ACACACTTAACCGAAAGGCAAATTACATGCACGATGCACGTTCGCAAAATTGATAAGAAGAGTATTCAAATGAAATACGGAACGATCTAGAGCCATATGTCGCTTGTTGCACTTTCCACATTTGGAAACGTTCCTATGCGCAGATTGCTGTTGACCTGTTATGATCATTGATAAATCCAAGGTATTTGCGCGTGTGTGTGTGTCATTTGACCTAAATCATAAATGGAACTGACCACTGAATAACACACCCGCCGAAAGAATAATATGTAATAACAATATAAAAATGACTTAATGATATACTATTGGTGTGATGGCAAGCCTGTTGTTAATGTGGCATGCAATATGTTTTCCCTTATGGTCGCAATTTTTTTTGTCAATTTTTTTAGTGCGAAATAATGTTGCCTTGAACAAGCCCACACGTTAATCATTTCGCACTTGCGCCAAAAATAAATACAACCAACAATTACACCGCATTTAGTTATCATTCTTATTGAAATATTGGTCGACCACTCTCGGTCGCTTAAATAATGTAAAAAAGCACGAAGAATAAATGGTGATGCGTCAAATCGAAAAATATTTTTTTTTTCTTCTTATGTTTTTTTTTTAAATATATATTTGCAAAACGTGCGCACTCTGGCATCATTGTTTGCTGGCAAAAGAGCGAGCGCGCCCGGCTATCCTTGATTCAAAGAACCAACATTTGTAATTTGTCTTTTGTCTCAATCTAAACCCTGACCTATATACATTTACACATTTCGCACTCTTTTTAGCAAAGAACAGACAAACAAAATATATAGCATTTATTTGTTTATTTTTTTATTTGAGTTTATACGACTTTCTTTAAATGTTTTCCGGAGAGCTCTTGTGTGTGTGTATGTGATAATATTCACGTTTAGTCGAGTTGAATAGTATCGGTTGTGTGCGCCCGATCTATAAATCATCACGGCGATCAACACGGAAAATAACACTTTTTTAAAAAAATGGGTCACATCGAATGAACTCATTTGCAAAAATCATCCAGCTAGTTTTATCCACGGGTTTTGTGACGAATCTCTTTTGCATAGAACATTAAAAAGCGAGGAAATCCCACGCACTCATGCTCATTTGCCAATTTTTTTTTTTTTTGTTATTGGTTGATATATTTCGTAATGTCTTGCAAAATTCTTCCTTGTTTTTTGTTTCTCCGGTGATTTGTTAATGTTAAGGCAAAAACCTCGTTTATTTTTAAAACGAAATGCTTGATAAGTTTGCAGGTGCCTTTTATACTACGCGTGTTCTGATTACTTTTCGAGCAAATAGGAAATACCGCTGTGATTGTGTCGCATACACGCACACAGTAATTTGTTGCTAAAATTGGCAATTTACCATATTTTTTTCGTATTTTCGGCTGAAACTGGTTCTTTATTCTAATGATCGCACGCAAATGCCAAAAAAATACTACGAAATCTTCACTTATGCCATTTTCTATGTGATTTCAAGAACAGGTTGCCAAAATCTGTTGTGTCATATAGATATTTAAAAAAAAAAAACGAAATGAAATACACGATAGAGCAAAAAAAAGTTTCGATTTCGTTTTGCCAGAAGAAAGAAGATCTGTTTTCTTAACCGGCACCCAAAAATGCTTTGTCTAAATGTGAACGCGTGTTTATCTCGCGATGATTAAACTACATCTTTTCCCGTGATTTGTACATGTAGGTTCGATGATTTTGAACAATTTTTTACGCTGTGCTATTTTGAAAAAAAAAAAAAATGACGACTTACAAAATAAATAAGCAAATGGAAAGTTTGTAGCGGCACTTATATGCGTTGGCACATGCATGGCCATGCGATGTACTTAAATTACGAAATCTATGAGAAAAACGAATTTTTGTTCGTCTATTATTTTATGAGCTGTAATTGACAAACAATGCTGCACATTAATTGTATTCAATGTAATAAATAAGCGTAATTAGTGTGGCTTTTGCAGAAGCAACATGCTGGGTGATCGCAAGATTATTTTTGAATGTCTATGAAATGTTTGTCACGCAATCCATTCAAAAAGGATTCAATTTGAATAGACAGTTTCTATCAATTTTTCATGTGAATCGGTCAAATCACGAAGGCCGATAGAATGTTTGATAATCACTTGTGTTCATGACAAATTTCACCTAGGACATGTCACACACATGTTACAACTATTCCATTCATACTTTAACGTTGCGATTAAATCCACGCGCTCCTTTTTTTGTCATTGAAGTACAACGGTCCCATATAATCGTTTGAATTTGAAGAAACGATCGAATTCAGCCTTGATTGAGATCAAAATGATATTCATGCATTTAATTCGAATGGCATTTTATGATGGTCAAATTCAACAGGTTTTACTGGCACAAGGCACACGTGCAGCCAACCATTATTCTAACAACGAAACCGAAAATTTGACAATCGCTGAAATCAATACCACTTTGCATAAATTCAATAAATTGTAATTTCCTGCTAATAATGGCAATGACAAGAGAGTGTTTCTTTATTCAACAAAATAAAGTAAGCGCACACATTTAAGAGATATTTAATTAAGCGTGCCCATGAATCAGCAGAATAAATGGTTCGCTTTTCTCCGCTTACATATCTCTACGGATCAGCAGAAATCGCAATAAATTCATCACCGTGTCAATTGCACAGTACTTACATATGAATCTGTGTAAAACTGAATGGAATAGAAAAATCATTGAAATGCATGAGTTTTGTTCGCGCATTTAAAACCATTTGAAAATGAAGTAGTTTACAAAGTTTCCGCAATTTGTGTCCGATATTACGATATTTGGGACCGAATATAGAAGCAAAAGCGTGTGTGTGTGTGTGCACATACGCATGAAATACGTATTGCCAATCGGCTTACAATTTGGGTGCGCTTGTTTATTTGTGCAGCACAAAATTCAATCTGGCCGCAACAACGCGCTGTACAAAAAAAAACAACACACATACACACAATATTAGCCACAACAGGCGAAAAGAACGTTATTTGTGTCAGAGTAACTTTCTGCATTTCAAATTATCGACAAGAAAAATATGTGTTTGCGTGAATGAGCTCACTCAGTCGGTCGCTTAGTCGCATGTTGATTCGAAGCGGTGCGCCGCTTATTTTAAAAAACGATCGAACACATGTGCTTGTTGTACCCATAACTTTGTATGTGGCTTTTTGAACGTATGATTGTATGATTTGCGACAAACGAACAATTATACTATATCTTCTATTTCTTTTTTATTTATTTCGTCGACTTGACATTCTGCGCTAAATATCCCATTGTTCATAATTCAATTGGGCCACAGCCTCAGTGTACCGTATATATATTTTTAATATTTGCTGTTGGTGCGTACTCGATTGGATTTTCGTTTTGAAACTATTCAATCGCACACTGATTTCTTGACTGATCCGTTTTTCTATTTCGTGTGTTTGAATTTTGTACGATTTAAAAAAAAATTATTTTTCGTTTTTTGAATATGTTGTATATCGAATTAAAAAAAGTGTGCGAACGCGCAAGGTGTGCCGTTAATGGTTTTGCTGTTGTTGCTGTGCATTGATTTCTATGAAACAATTACTCATATCAAAACACTCTTCACAATAAAAATATACGGAAAGCCGTTAATATTAAAGAAACAAGGATACGAATTACATTTGTGAACAAATTTAAGCTCGAAAATAGCAAAATGAGGGAAAAAGACATGTTAGATTGTCAACAGTGAAAGAGACCGTATTTTTCACTCTAACTAAGTGTCTTATTTTACAGAAATTGGTATTGAATTGAAGAAAACGTTTTTTGAAAAACTGGAGAAACTTTGAAAAAAAAAGTGAACAAAAAACAAATTGACAAAGAAAAACAATAAAAGGAAAAAAATAAAGTGACATTAGACATTATTGTGGAAAGAGAAAGACAGAAATTTAAAGAGCAGAGGATATGCGAATTAATTGCTAGAAAGCATTTAACCGACAATTAGATCAACGACAACAACTAAATGTATTATTTCAATTGTGACTGTTATTGTTTAAACGACGAAAATGCTGTTCAACTGTTTGGCCCTAGGTAAATATTTTAATTAACGTCGAGAACAAGAGAGAGACAAAAATTAGAAAAATTAATGAATACACCTCAAGTCAACTTGTTGATGAATCGAAAATTCCAGGAAAATTTTTGCTTGATTAAATTTCCATCATATTTGCGATCTCTAACCAAAGAACGTAAAACTATAATATCGTAAAAACTTATTGTTCGAGTTGGCTGACGGATGTGATAAAGATTTTGATGACATGTGTCATCGTATCTTTTCGATATAAATATATATATACAACTACCCGGTTTTTGGTTAGTCATGTATCGTGATAGCAATACAGACAAAATCGAAGCACTTTATTTACACATAGACGTACGTCATACGCATACATGTTCGCATAATTTAGTTGAAAGCGAGGCACTACGCAGTAAATAAATTCGCTTTTGTTTTCAAACCATACAATGTCATCCATACGATAATGACGTAAGCTCAGCGAGCAACAGTTCTTTTTTTTATTATTTCTTATCTCTGATTTATGTTGGTATTTCAATAAAAAAAAAACACAGAAAAGATTATTATATATAGTGGCCAAAAACTTAAAATTTAGCAACGGTCGTTTTTGCTTATTCATTTTATTGGAAATGCTCTTACATGCGCAAAGAGCATAGAACACAACTAGAAAGATTAATTTTGTGGAATTTATAGAGTTGCTGTAAAATATTATTATAATGTTGTTATGTCTATTTTACCATATCTCACAATGACTAAACACATTTCATTAAATGAGCTTAAATTGTTTACACCTCTCGCACTCATGCTGCTCGAATGTGCGAAGAGATTGAAAGAGAAAAAAAAGAAGAATACTTATGCTTATCACAATTTTTTGGGAAAATTGTTATAATTATTATTTTATATTTTACGAATTGTTGAATATTTATGATTTATTTGTGTTTTTACCGGTTTGAATTTAGGTTTTTACACAATGCGTATGCTGGAACCAAATGCCACCAGCAACAATTCATCTGTGCTCAGTGCACAGGCCAATGCAGCAGCAGCAGCAGCCGCGGTGGCTGCGGCCGGTAGCTTAAATAATAATGGTGCCGGTTTGTTGCCAAATGCTACAGGTGCAGCCCCACAAATGCAAACCACATTAAATGGAAACACTGCAACCAGTGACCGTTTGGATGCATCAAGTGACAGTGCGGTCAGTTCAATGGGCTCCGAACGTGTACCATCTTTATCAGATGGTGAATGGGGCGATACTGGCAGCGATTCTGCTCAAGAATATCACCATAGGTAAGAAATGAAACTTTTAAATCGATACAAATTCAACCGAGCATCTTGTAAACAAGCATTATTCGGTGAAATTCAAAGTTCAAATGGTTGCAATTTCGTTTAAGTTACGGAAAAATACACCGATATTTCATTTGTTTCATTTATTTTGCAGTAAATATGGTGCATACGATTACAGAAGCTACAATGGTCGTTTAAATGATGCCGTGCGTCATCCAGTCGCTCAAAAGAAACATCAAATGTTTGGCAAACGCTATTTACAAGACCAAAGCGCATCCAATCTGTAAGTTAAATGCGCATCACATTTCTCTCAATTTAAATAAAATGTCAACACATTTGTGTTTTTTTTTTTGTTTCGGCTATTTTTTCGCCTTTTGTTTTGTTTACATTATCATTTTTATTCATTTGGGGGATTTTTTGTGTTTCGAACACTATTTTTTATTTTTGCAGTAATATTTCACAATCGGCATCGAATGGCGGTGTTGTGCAGCCACAACAGGCTGATATGCCAATCAAATATGAATATGAACCGTATCCAATGCATCATCCACTTGCAACAAATCTTGATGGTGCCGCTGGCGGTATGCCAATCATGAATAAACACCAGTCACAACAGCAATGTTCAATCGACTTTGGTCGACACAATCCACGTGGCATTCATGATATTGTTGGACACAATCATACATACACTTTGCCTCAAGCAAGCGGTGCAACACCACGGTCGCAACCGCGTGATAAGAAAAATTCCAAAAAAACTGAGGATGAACATCTCACGCGTGACGAGAAACGGGCTCGTCAATTGAATGTATGTACACAATACATTATTTTGTTTACACATTTTGATTTTCATTTCAATGCAATGATGCTATATTTATAATTTCAATTCGATTTGACGATGTATAGGTTCCGATTGCAGTCATTGATATCATTAATTTGCCAATGGATGAATTCAATGAGCGATTATCAAAGTACGATCTCAGCGAAAATCAACTAACACTGATTCGAGACATAAGACGCCGTGGAAAAAATAAGGTGGCCGCACAAAATTGCCGAAAACGAAAACTAGATCAAATTTTAATGTTGGCCGATGAAGTTGATGAGGTGCGCAAACGCAAAGAACGTTTGGTTAAAGAACAAGCAGCCGCATTGGCCGAACAAAATCGTATCAAAAAGAAGTTTAGCGATTTATACACGCACATTTTCCAAGTAAATAAATTCGATCCGTTGCACGGAATTCTCCGGACACAAAAGACACAAACTTTTATTAAAATATGACACTTTCTTTTCCGTATCTCTTTTCAGCATCTACGCGATCCACAAGGTAATCTTTACTCGCAAAGTGAATATAATTTACAACAGTCGGCTGATGGTCGTGTGCTTCTGTTACCCCGTGACAATCACAATTCGAATCAAGTGAACTTGCAAATGCAACATAATGTTCAACAACAGCAATCAAATCAACAACAACAACAACAGCAACAACAACAACCGACCAATTCAACTCACCATATCAGTCATCACCACAATCCACGCCATTGAGATCCCGTTACATACTGTCATCCATACACGGAACAATTTTTCTTGCTCTTCAATCAATATCTATGGGATTCAGGAAACTTCTCTCATATGCCCGTACAACAACACATCCACAACATTTTATGAAGGAAAAAACACCACATCACTGATGTTGATAGCAGGCACGAAGCTTCGTCAAAAAAAATATATATTTTATTTTGTTAACTTGAGTAAAAACGAGTAAAAAGAAGAGAGAGAAAAAAAAACAAACAAACAAAGAGAAGCAAAATGTATAAAAAATCGAAAAGAGACAAAAAAAATTGTAATGTAAAAAAAGAAGATATACATGGTGTGAGTATAAATGTTGATTTGTGTGAGTTAGAATGCATCAACCGAAAACCAAATCAAGCGAATGTAGCCGTAGCAGCCCCTTGGCTAGGATATTATTTTATCAATGTATTTACTTATTAACTCTAAGCTCTGGCGTGGCTTTTTTCTTCTTCTTCTTCTTCTTCTTCATAGACGGTGTTGATTCAATTTATTCAATAGATATACAATCTATATGTGTGTCTATTGGATTAATAAATTATTTGATTATGTCAGTGAATTTAAAAAAAAAACACATACACACAACGACACATAGAGAGACAAACTGAAAATCCAAACACATCGTACTCAGCATTCGTAATGTTGTGCAAAATTTAAAAAACAAATGCCGGGTCAAATCAAATGAAACGTAGATTTATTATAGAATTGAGTAAACAAGAAACAATAGTCATTTTTTAAGGTTGGCAACTTATTACATTGTTCGTTTCTTTTTTTAGTATCACACCGCGCTAAAGCTGGTTCTTTTCTTTTTTTTTTGATTTTCACTTAATCAGAGCATTTAACAATGTTACCATTTTTAACAATTAATTTACTGTTTGAGTGAGCCATTCTAATTTTCCTAATATGAACATGCAGAGCTCGTTCGTCATTTGGAAGTGACAATGGGCAGCTATTTCATTGCAATCGAATCGTGTTTTCGACTTTTTTTTCAAAGAGTTAAACCGACCGAAACTAAAATAGAAGAGTATTTTCAATGAGCAAGAGTATCGAAAAATCGCGCCGATATTCTTTTTCACCGCATCTAATTCAAAATAAAACTGAAAATGCCACCCATAAGTAACAATTATATACGGCAACAAAAAAAAAGAGAAAGAGAAAAAAAAACAATTTCATTTCTAAAGCTAAAAGCTAAACAAAATTGCTTTTTAAAGAGAAAAAAAATAATTATTTGAGAAAAAAAAAACAAAAAAAAAACACAAAAACACCTGTATCCATAAATGTTAAATTTAAGTTTACTTTATGGTATCCATTATAGCCAGATATAGATAGTTTGTAAGTCCTTATTTTGTATGGGGGAGTCAGAAATTACTCTCGTGCATTCTGTAGTCAATGGGCCTTGTCAAACGTTTTTCAACCCATTGCCAATGTTTGAACAAATTTTCCATTGAGTCGATGAGAGCAAAAAAAAATTAACACATACAAATACAGATAGAGACAGGCAGACACTTGGAATCGAAAAACATGAATTATACTATGTAAATACAATATATATACCAATTACAAATATAATCGATGTTTTATTTTGATGCAAAACGAGAAATATTTCAAACGGTTTTCTTTTGTTCCATACAAAATTCAAAATAGCTGCAGTGAAAACAGCCGATTTTTATTCAAATTGCGCTTTTCAACCACCCACTCCGAAATCAAAATTTAATTTGAGCATAAACAACATGCGGATACAAATACGATTCGATTCAATTGTTTCAAATTCAATTTAATAATGAAATTAAGTTTGGTTTAGGCATCGTTGTGTGGAAGTTACAAATTGGTGATAGTTTATTTAAATTGATTTAGTTTTTGTAATTTCTTTTGTTTATTTTGAAAAATTAAAAAAAAACGTATAAAACTATAGTGGCAAAAAAAAACATAATTTCAAACAAAAAGATACAAAATAATAAACACATGCATACATTTTTAGTTGTAAGTAGGTGTTTTTTATCAAAATGTTTTCTTTTTTCCTCGGCTCATCACGAGTTGCATTGTATATATTTATTAATTTAATGATTGATTAATGTAAAATAGGGCTTTATTTACTCTATAAAAAAAATTAAAAAGAAAACACAAAATTTTAAGCCTATAAGTGAAAATCAATAAAGGATAAATACATACAAACTACAGAAAAAAAATAATTTACGACGAAATATAAATAAATCTGAATAAAATTGTGACTTTTAAAATCATAAATCCATCGGTTTCATTTCTTTTTCGCAATCATTTTGGAGTTTAATTGAGCTGATTCATTTTTTCACCACTTTTGCTTATGCATACAGCGGTACATTTATTACTTATGTTCTTCTTTTGTCTCGGCGCGGTTAACATTGGAAACACATCGTAAAAATCTGACCTATTAAAATACTAACTTGAGCATTGAACATTTTTCTGAACAATGAAAAACTGGAACAAACTTATTTCGAAAAGGTGTGAAATTCGATCGAGAGAATAATATTGTCTAATCAGATTAAATCATTTGGGTCACTTAATAACTGCGATGTGCTTTTAATATGTATTCTAAATGCTCATACTAGCACACACAAATGCTTTTGCTAATGAAAATTATTAGATTAACAATGTTAATTTAACATAAATTGATCAAACATTTTATTATGACCCATACTTTATGGGCTATATCTGGCTCAATTTAATCTTTAGGTGACTCCAGGTGAATAAATTATTTTTATTACTTTCACGATCATCGGATTCGAATGAACTATTTAAAAGTAATTTGACGAACTGATTCATCTACATGTCTTAAAGTTTTTTCGCACATATTTATACAAAAGAAATTAATCATTAAACGAGTCGCGTGTACTTTTTACATATGCGTATGTATAGGAAAATGAGAGCCTATTGTCGAGATCTTAACAATATGATTTTCCGTATAAAGCAGTCGACTCTATGTAACCACATCGTGGTGGTCGTAAAAAAATGATCAAAATCGATCGAATAAACAAGTTCACCCATAATAAAAAAAAACGATGCAGTATTTCTTTTTCGCTTTTGAAATTTTTATTTGGTCAGTAAAACTTTATTAATTTCGATTTCGAACAAAAAACGTCTCGTATCAGATTATTGAGATTTATGATAATAATAATTATTGTTTTTTTCGCTTGCTCTTGCTTCGTGAATTTTGCGAAGGGACATGGTTTGCAAAGTCCGGACGATGTGTTTTGCGTTCCAACGTCAATTTATCGATCTACTTTCTTTGAAAGTAACTGTCGTTGAACCCGTATAGTGAACAGTATCTATAGAGATTGTTGCTCTGCCATTTGCAATTTGGGTGACTCTTATATTATTCAACAATTCTGATGGTAGATGTTGATTATTAGAAATAAATTGTTTCCTAATAGAACTTTCATCAGCTCTTCGATTTTGGAATTTTCCTAGATTTAAGTTTGGAAAATATGAATTAATATGTCGTTTTTGTCCTTCCATTACAACATCATCATCGTAGACATGTGGATTGTAATAAATCAAATATCCACCATGACACGTGTACGATCTTCCACGTGTGAAAAAGTATCTTAAATTATCAACGGAAAATCGAATTTCTCGTCCATTTCCTGGATCCATTGCAATGTAAGTCATTTCAGATGCACTTGTAGGATTTCGACGATGTGATGAAATTCCAAAAATAACAATAAAATGGCTGTGATCGTTTGATACCGGGACGTCGAAAGGACTACTGGCAAGTGGCATGTTATTGCTTTGTGGACCCGAAGATCCATGATATCCCATTACAACTGGTATGTTATTTTTTAAACTGTAATAGACATGTCGATAGAAAAACTCTAAGTCCATGTCTGCTGCACATATGGACTCAATAGAATAAGTATGTCCCCCGAAAAGATGGTTGCGATCATTCAAAACACGTTGAAGATTCTCTCCAGTAGTTCCAGTTGGACCTGTTTGTGCGAGTGTCGCCAAATTATATTGCCAAAGAAAGTGAGTGTCGGTATTTGCTGAACCAAAAACATCTCTGCTATTTGCCCCAAAATATCGGAAAATAGCCTCAAGTACCGCCGGTCCGCACCAATATTTTCCCTCTTGTGCTATGTTTGGAAAATTGGATAACTTGTTTTCTTCGTATTTCATAAATGGTCTGTTTCTTTTCTGTCTTATGTTCGCTTCATTCTAATGAATATAATATATTTATTTAATTTATTTTAATTTATACTTTTTTTTTGAAAAATAATAACATACTTTATCCGCTGATTTACAATCGCCAGAATAAACGAGTAAAGCGTTTAAAATGCAAAAAGAAAGAAAAACTATTTTCGTCATTTTCGTATGACAAACGTCTTCACCGTTGACAGTTGTTTTCCGATTTAAACATTTCGAAGCGAGTCGTGGCTATTTTATACTTTTGCCCAAACGTACTCAAACATACTGGTATCAGAGCTTTCAGATTTGAAATCAAATGATTTGTAAAATCAACAAATCATGGAAAAAATCATGTTTAGAAATACACAATTCAAATCTAGATTCAAATCAAATAAACTATTTGTTTTGATTTAAACTATAACATATATTTGAAATCAAACCAAATGATTTAATTGATTTGAATTATGAATCTTGAATCAAATGATTTCAATTTTTATATTTATTTGAATAAACAAATCAAATCAATCAAAATATATTCAAAAAAAATTGTTCAGTGAACAACGAAGCCTGATCATGCCCGCAGCTAACAACACCTCTAATGCGTATTCCGAGTACTAATTGACGTTTGTGACAATATGGCCGTCACGGTTTGGCAAAATCATAATGAATCGATTAAACTGCGTTAAACTGTTAAAATAAAACAGTAGAAATAAATAGATTTAAATTTTTTACATTTTTGAAAATGAAAAATCTTTTGTTTTTTAATTTTGTGAGATTTTCTGTCCACAATATTCAAAAATATTAAATTAATAAAAATGAATTGGTTGACATAACCTCACTTTTGTGTCAAAATCGTGATAAACCGATTAAATAACTATTAAAACAGTAGAAATAAATAGATTTTAATTTTTTACATTTTTGAAAATAAAAATTGTTTGTTTTGTTTTGTAGTTTCCGGTAGTTTCGTGAGATTTACTGCACAATATTCAAAAATATTAAATTAATGAAAATAAAAAATGAAGTGGTTGACATAACCTCACTTTCGTTTTAATAATTATTTGATCGGTTTATCACGATTGTGACACAAAAGTGAGGTTATGTCAACCAATTCATTTTTATTAATTTAATATTTTTGAATATTGTGGACATAAAATCTCACAAAATTAAAAAAACAAAAGATTTTTTATTTTCAAAAATGTAAAAAATTAAAATCTATTTATTTCTACTGTTTTATTTTAACAGTTTAAGGCAGTTTAATCGATTCATTATGATTTTGCCAAACCGTGACGGCCATATTGTTACAAACGTCGATTAGTACTCGTAATACACATTAGAGGTGTTGTTAGTTACAAGGTTTATATAGGAAATCCTATACCATGATCGGGCTTCGGTGAACAATTCATTTTTGAAAGTCATACTTGACGCGGTTTTGGAATTAATTCGATAGTATGGAAAAATCCGTCGAGTCACATTGTGACCTTTAAAATAATCCTCAGAAAAAAATGTTTTTCTATTCGAACGAAATTCAACATTCAACTCGTCTTTTTGAACCCTATAATCACCGACAATGAGAGCTAACATCTAGATTTTGTTGAGCATTCAGGCTTACATTAACCCATTTTTTCTAGAGAATGGCAAAAATGGCTTTTGGCATCTAAAGTAGTCGCGTCGAACCGCATTCATGATGAAGGGGCGGGAGCTGATCGACAAGAACAACGGTGCCTATAACACGGTGTAAGTTACGAATCGTAACACCGATTGAGTCTCTGAAAGATATTTTTTCTAAAACACATTTGGATGTGTCAGAATAAAAACTCATCTTCATATCTCACCTCCTGCTCAAACTTATGGAAAATCCTTCAGGAGAGAGCAAGAGGTGAAATGCGAAGTTGAGTTTTTATTCTGACACATTCATTTTTGGTTGTGACTTTCATATTAAATTTCGTGATTCATCTACATGTTTTAGAGTTTTTTTCGCACATTTTGATGTTTAATGTTATGAATTCGAATGGATATTCCTTTGAGGATCTTCATATTGCTCTTTTTCGACCAATTTTAACTCTTCTTTATTTTGGTAGTCACCGTTTCCAATAAAATCAAAACGATGCACTTTCACATCTTTCTTGGCGATTATTTTTCAAATCGATTTGCATTAACTTGATTTGTTGATTTGGGATTTTAAATTTTTGTGTCTTCCTGGAATCATCAAAACTTGAATTGATTGAGCATTTTTTTACTTTTAATCTTCTTTATCTCTTAAACAAAGGAAGTTTTTTTCCATTTAAATGGATATCATTGAGTTCCAGAGAATTTTAATTAAGCTTTGACAAACATTCCTCTGCTATTTTAAAAATTGTCCTAAGGCTAACCATCGCTTGTTTAACCAAACTTATTGGAAATATAGTTTAACTGCATCAAAAAGAAAGAATGGAGCGTACTAATTAGCGTAAAAAATAAAGGTCATACATAAAAATAAAAATAATTTGTAGAAGAACATCTTCAAACAACCATCAAATTTAAAAAAAAAGAGTATTAACGGTCTTTTATGGCCTATAATATTCAAATTTTTTGTGTTAAGATGGAATTTCTAGGTTATTTTATCGTTTCAAATGCAAAAGTGTCATTTTTTTTCGAAATTTCTTAACACAAATCCACATTGGGTAAAATTTCAACGATTAATTCATATGAAAAGAGCGATTGATTCGTAAGAAAGGTGATAAAAATCACCTGAAATCATTTTTTTGTCATAACAAAACCGAGCTGAAAGCATATCTATCATCGAAATATAAATTCGCACGAGTTTGCGTTAAAAAAAACGCCCTTTTATACAACAAATAAAAGCATCATCGAATTTTCTCTAGATTGTCAGTTAAAAAATGATGTTTACCCTATTCAAAACTTTATTTTGACAACACACATTGTGTTACTGCGACGTTGTACCAACTGATTTGACTTTTGCTTCAATTTTCGGTGTGCCACTGTGAAATATGTGGTTATGTTCACTTCATATTTAAGTGTGACTATTTCAGCCCATTAAAATTTTCTGCTAGAAAATGCAACCGTTACCATTCAATTTTTTTTGAACTGAAAATAATTTTCATCTTCAAGTAAACAAAAGTAAAAATCGATTGTTTATTTATTTATCGCAAAATTATCGTGGCTATATGTTGGCGTCATCTATTGGATAACTTGACTATGACGTTTGACATGTGCGATTATGAAACTTACAATCAAAACATCATCCGGTCGATATAACCATAAAAGGTAAGTAAGTATATGATAGAACTCAAGTGTGAAATCAAATTTAAAAAAAATTCCCAAATTTACGATTTGAATGAAAATGCCATCATTCCAAATAATTATCACAAAAACGTGCCATCATTTTGAATGAAACTTGTAATAGAGAGGTAGAGAGATAGAGTGTGTGTGTGTGTGTAATTGTCATCGATTGGGCTAGATCAAGACACCGTACAAAAGTGAGAGAGAATAAATGCACATTTTCGACAACCGTCAATGTGCGAGCTCCAGTGTTGCCAACCGTTGACAGTCGAATAAAAACAAACTACACCGGAGATAGTGCTTCGAAGCAAATGTGAAAACACTATGACAAACATGACAAACACAATAAATTTCAATCAGTCACATTTTTTCTTTTGAAATATTCCTTTTGACCATCATAACCACGTTGTTGTTGACGACTTTTGAAATATGCGTCAATAAATTTTGCAAATAAAAATGTATATAGCGTAAATTTCAACTGATGAAAAGCGAATAGTGTTTTAACGAAAAGTTTTGCATCTAAAAATTGTAAAAAATCACAGTGAATTAGTTGACAGGAGCCACAGCACTGTAAATAGAAAGAAAAATTATTTTTTTTCTCTATCGAGAAGCGTGAAGGGAAAAAAAGTTGCACTGATCTTCTATATAATTTTCCTTCAGCAGCAGCAGTAGCAGTTCACTACTACTCGACTTTTTTTTTCTTACACAGTTTGGTTATATTATATTTTAATTTGTTGGTTATAACTTTATAAAAACGTGTGTATGTGCTTTTTCCCTATTTGATCAGCTCAGTTACATCGAGTGTAATTTATCGAATTGAATTTGGCAGACAATTTCATTTACGAAAAAAAAAATTATTGCAAAAATAAACATTTTGCCCCGAGAGAAAAATATACGGCCAAAAGGAAGAGAGAAAAAAAAGAGAAAACAGTTTGACGGGAAAAGAACTATAACACAAAAACAGAAACAAGAACATTTTAAGAAGGCGAAACACATTACAATATATACATATATTGTCTACATATATATTTTCCTGGTGAAATTTGTGTGAACAACAAAAAAAAAAGTGTGTATATTTTGTGTGCGCATTAGTTTGTGCGTAAGGAACTGCGATTTGAAACGAACAAAAAGATAAAAAAATAGAGAAGAAGATTATTTAGACAATTTTCCACGAACAATATAAAAGTGAATATAGTTTTTTTTTTTAAATTTCGTTGTTGTTGTTTTGATATGTTATGAAGTCGCATTTTCGAATGTTTGATATTGTGTTAACTGAACAGAGTGTACGAGTGCTAGTGAATGAATTGTATTCTAACAATACACCACACCATTAGTTGCTGTATATTCTTCGTTTATTTATTATTTTGCTTGTCGTCCTTTGCGGTGAGAATCACGACAGCGCTGAAATAGAGACACAGCCCGTATTGACAAAGACACACTCTCACAAACAGGACTGAGGGGAGGAAGAAAAATAGAAACAAACAAAAAATACGTCGATTAAACAACAACAACAACAAAATAATCAATTCTATTGTTGATTTGTTCTGGAGTTGTGTTACAAAATCCAAACAAAATTCAAAACAATATCATCCTCGAGCACCTTGTCGTCGTAGTCTATCATCGTGGTCGTGGTCGTTGTGTGTGCAAAACCTTCGAATTTATTAGTCGATTATTACGATTTATATATATATATTTTCTGCACGGTCATCCATACATAACATTCATTGTGCTAAATGAGACGGCAGTAACATTAAATTCGCTCTGTGCTCTCGCGGTGAATATAGGTGAATTTTCCTAAGGATTTTATCAATAATACAATACATTTTTACTAATTTATTTTTAAGTTTTTGTTCATTTTCATTTGAAACGGTGTGTGTCGCATACGGTTTATATTTTTTTGTGTGTCCGTTCTATCTTTCTCATTCATTCATTTTTTTTTTTCATATTCTCTCACACTCTCTATCTCACACACTTCGGTGGTATCGATGTATGCTTTTTTGTCATACATGCTGTTCGTTTATTTGTATTGAGGAGAGAGAGACATTGCGTTGTATTGGTGATTTTTTGATGTGTTTCAGCTCGAATTGATGTTGTGTTTGTACCGTAGTACGGTAATATAGAATTATGTGTTTTTGTGTGTTTCATGATGTTCTGTGTTCGATATTTGATATTCGGTTTTTTTTTTCGGTGGCCAATAGTGCCGAGAACACAACCGATTTTCTATATGTATGTTTACAAATGCAACAACAATCACGCATGGTACCCAAAACGTAGTGCCAAAGTAACTAACGAGAAAGAAACACAAATAAGAAGAAGAAGAAGAAGAAGAAGAGATGGAGAGAGAGAGAAAGAGAGAAACGAAACTCGGTGTTCGGTGAGCTATAGTGGAGTTGTCGTATTTTCGTATAAATCGGTGCGACAGCATGCTGTCGTTGCCGTATCAAAGCGCTACCACTGTGCGTCGCCAAGAGGCCAATACGTTGTATGGCATCTCATGCCATTTACGAAGCAAACACACAATCCATAGGATAACCTGCTTATGATTGTGTGACCATATTGTTTTTTTCTCTTTTTTTGAATTTCGTCTTTTCTGCTCTTTTTTGGTGTGTATTTAACAATCACACAGTAATTACATATATTTAAACATTGACACACAGACTGACGACGATGTTTTGCTTATTGTCATGACTATGTTTGCCTTCACACTCCTTCAATTCCAAATACGTTCATTTCATTCTTTTGCTGGCGATTTTTCTTCTTCTTCTTTTGCTGTATTTCCTTTGCTGCTTCTATTCGATACACTTCTGAGTTTCCTTCGCCTTCATTACGGTTACACATGTTCGTTCCTAGTGCGATTCGAACTTTGAATTTCATTTAATATGCTTTTCGTATAGTTTTTTTTTTATATTCGGTTCGACAACGTTCCTATCGCTCGCCAGATTAAGTTTATCACCGAATCAAATATTTTGTCAATTCCGCAATTCGGTGTGAAAAGTGAGTTCTTTACGGTTTTGTGAGAAAGAGAACAACGTGCTCAATTTCCGTTTCATGTTTCGATTTGCGGCCAGCAAGCGTTTCATTCGGCTTCAACATTTTTTTTGGTGATTTTTAGTGTTTTTAGTAGACGAGCACCGACACAACGACACCTCAAAAACATATTCAAAGGAAGACAAAAGTGTTGTTTTTAACAAAGCGAACGGTTTGGCTCATCAAAGCTCAAACCCTTTTTTAATAGATGTTACACGTGCAAATAAATAATGTGGAACTACATTGTAATAAAATGTTCTAATCTATTCAACGTGTGAATTGTGCGTATTTTCTGTGGATATATAGTGAATATTTATTTGGGTTTTTTTTGTTGTTGTTTTGTTTCTTTCGTTCAAGCTATGGCAAAATATGATGTTCAATTGGCAATTTAATCAAAATTCAAATCGAATCTCCAGCATAATTTCTGTTTATTTTCTATATGTTGCCTGTCATTCGATATGACATTTTGGATTTTGGTATCGGCTTCTTTCGTTCGGAAACGTCATTACCGGTAACGGCCAATTTCCAATTACCAATTGACATTTTTAATTTTCAACGACTTATTCTCGACAAATCAGATTTTGTCCCATTGAAATGAGGGGGCGAGAGGGAGAGATAGAAAGTAAAAGTGATGACTGACAAAAGCGAAAAAGAGACAGTGTATTTCAAGTGAAGAAAATAAATATTGGCCAATGTGAAATAGTGATGCATTGGCATTGATACAAATAGTGTGTGTCGAATAGACACAATGCAAAATTGAGTGCGAGAATGAGCAATAGGTATGAGAGACATTAATGCACTACAATACTTCGATATATACATCTAATAATATGATGTGTCACACATTATGTCTACGTTTGCCATTAAAATGCATAAATCTTTTCGATATATATATCGATATATGTATGATTGCTACTGCATTTGCATTTTCTATATCCACCATGTATATATTTCGCTTATTTAAAATTGCAATCGGATTTCAGGGCGTTCGATCTTTCATCGTTTCACAAGTTACGGTCTGGTCGTCCAATTACCACATGGTTTGCGACAGTCCAACACGTACACAGAAAATGTTTGCGTAGTGGTATTGTTGGCAGCTGCCATTGTATATGTGTACTATACCGTATACCGATTGTCAGCACTACACGGCTGCTATCGTTGTTGTTGCTTTGTTCGCTCTCTCACAGTTTTTTTCTCTTCTTTCGTACATATGGATGTTTGATTACATATGATTGTAAATGACATGGATCATTCTAAGATTACTCAAATATAAATTGAAACTCGTTAGAATCAGTTTTATTGCATACAACCACTGCAATCTCATATTTCTTTCGAAATCAATCATGAATTCAATATTTTGAATTCAAAACAAACATCGACGAGGGAGAGAGAGAGAGAGAGAGGGGGGGGTAGAAATAACAACATCGATTATTTTGCACTGCGTCGAATATTCTCGATATTCGCTTCAAATTTTTTTTACAGTTTTAATCGTTCATTCATTATTTCTTCTCCATTCAGAAGAACAAAAGAAAGTTGAACGAATTTATTTTCTTAAAAAGAAAGTTGAACGGCGCAGAATGAAGAAAGACAAAATACAATTTGTAAATGCATAATCACGAAAATAAATGTGAAACCTTCAATCCAAACAATGATAAAATATGTGATGTGTGCTTATTTTGACAGTTTGAACCACAAACAAGATAAAAAACAGTCGGAAGCCCAAAATGAAACGTACAATCAGCACTTTGGTTTGCGTATAAACACAACAGTTTGTTTTTATTGCATGTATATAACATTCATTGATTTGTAAATCGAATGCATTCAACATTCATTATCTATCACTCCTCCCTTGTTTCTTTATTTTCTTCGTTTTTCTCAATTTGCCAAAATCGATGTGTCGATGAGATTTCTGAGCCGATAAACATGTGTTTAGTGTTGCCGCTATTGATTAGCCGATCTATAATATTATGCAACTGAATTCACAGTCTCTCTAGTTTCATAATACAATATAATTTTCGTTTCTTGTAATTTTATTGATTCGTGATGACTTAATTGATTTTACTGAATGCGTGTTTCGATCGAAGTGTTGACAACATCGACTATATCAACTACTGTCCATAACCTCTATTTGTATATATAGTATTTTTTTTATTTTGATTCGTGTTTGTAAATGTTTTTTTTTGTGCCGTCAATGGTTGCTTTTTTTCGATTCGATAGAAAAAAAATGATTTGTAAACAAAACTGCTCGATTTGTTTGACACAAAGTGAAAATGAACAAAAGAAAAACGAATGTTCTTAGTTTGCCATTTAAAATTTTAAATATGTCATTGTGATTTTACCATTTTTTTTGTGTGTGCTAATATTGATTTGTGTATGTTTTTTAATCGTTACAGAGTTTTTTTTTTGCGTAGGAGTCTTATTTCCTAAGCATTGATAAGACGGAACAAAGAACCAAACTCAGTCTAAAGCGACGATCGAAGAACACAGGTGAACGACTCAAAATGTCAGCTACTTCAGCTGCAACTAGTGACGAATTGACAACCAAAAATGTGTCGTCCACGACAACACCAACATCATCATCATCATATGCAAACATTGTTCAGAAGGACAATGCCGATAAAGAGAAAACAAATGTAAAATCAACGGCGGCCGGAGGTGAACCGGCCAAAAAATCGGCGACCACAAATTCAACAGCTGCTGTTACAAATGTGCCATCATCCAACATCAATAATAAAACGGACAAAAACAAGGTATGTTAAGAGAGGGAGGGAGGGAGAGAGAGATAGAGATAGAGATCAAATGTTAATCGATTTAATTTGCAGGAAATAATCGCACATGAATCAAACACCGATATCAATGCTCGGCCAAATACAGATGATTCGAATAAGGATAATAACGTAATTGATGCGGAAGACGATTCATCGTTTACTCCGGTCGTTTCACACAGTCGAAAAGATCGGAATAGTCGTCGCAACAAGGAACGTGGAACAAATACAACGGCAACCAGTGGTGGTGGTAATGGCAATGGCGGCGGCGGTGGTGGACGTCAAAGCAACAAATCGCAACGACAACCACGATCGGAAAATGGTCGCAGCAAAGACGCCACACATAAACGCTCAAAGGGAAATAACCATCGTGATGACAAAGACAAGTCGACGGAAACAACGGCAACATCAGGTAATGCAATCGATTTTAATCGCTTTTATTGCTCACGTTTCCACCGAATAAACCGAAACGACTGATTCACTTTTTTTTTTCAATTTTAACATTTGTTCATTGCTTTTATTAGGTGATAACAATACTTCCAACAAGGCAAATTCATCTAGCACCGATAATGCAAATACTTCAGCTGATGATTCGAATGGATCAATGAGTGCTGGCAACACGACTACATCATCGGAAGGAACTGTAAAATTTGTTGAAGCACCACTGCCAAAGGTTAATGCTTGGAAGGTGAGTTTTTAGCTTTTTTCGTGATCGAATTTTGTTTTCGTTCTTCTTCTTCTTCTTCTTTTTTCAATTCAATTTCACCTTCAAAACGTTATTTGCTCAATTACCGAAACGCTCGACCGCTCGATTTGCTCAATATTTTATTATAGCCCTTTTCTCGTTTGCATTAAATTTTCAATTTGGGAAGGACATTTATTTTCTAAACAACAACAAACACACACACACACACCTTTGTATAACATGATTGTGAAGCTTTTGTTGAGCTGTTTTACTTATTAAATATTTAATAAATGCGATTGCAGCTTGAACTAGTTTAAATCATTAATCTATTGATTATATCCACTGATGATTTGTCGGCCACGCTGTATTGAGGCGTCTGTGTGTGTGTGTTTGTCGTAACAATAATAACAGAGAATTTGGTGTTCGCTCCCTTTTCTCCTAGCTTGTATGACAAAAATGTGTATTTTCATCGAATCATCCGGGCAATATGCGACACAGAAATATCAATTAGTACATTTTGCATATTAAATCGATAATAAATGGTATGTTGTGTCTAATAATTGCAATCGGTCATCTTTAATTCATTTCAATTTATTGAATTCGATTGGTTTTGTTGCTAAGGTCGCCTTATTTCAAGACATAGGTCAAAATGCAATGTGAATAATTGCAGACAACATTTTAATTGAGTTTTCATTTTCGAAAATCAAACGAATTAATGACCGTTTGAAACGAAAGAAGTCAAGAAGTGCACATAAGTGTATTGTGTGGTGTCGAACACCAAAAAACCACTCTTAATTCATGCTTGAAATAGCATTTTTGCATATGTGAAGCCACAAATTAAAACATACGAAAGTCATTCGAATCGATTGTGGGTCAAAATTAGTTGACTGCATCACAAAACGTGAAAATGGTGGTGATGCGCGTGCGATAAGCGCGAGCCACTAGACTCTCTAGCCTTTCAACGAGATCGACGAACAATTCGAAAATAGAAAAGTACACACACACACATGCACATATGTTTGAGCCGTGTGCACACTACTCATAGATAGACAAATGAAATCGTCATCGGCATCATTTATATAATTTAAATTGAATATGATATAGCAATATGAAACATGTCGCACAACTAAACCGAATCATGTATAAAATGATGCACAGCCGATTTGGCCGTTTACCTGCATTCTCGTGCCAAAAATAAAATCTCTTCACCAAAACACACAAACACGATGAGATTTATTCTAACACCAGCACATAATCGTCTTGCGTTTCGATCGGAAAATTTTTCGTCGCATCTACACACACACAGTCGGCAACAGCGTGTATCACAACATAATTTTTTTTTTCTTCATGTTTACGTATATATAAATATATTTGGGTGACATAAGACACACAGAACTCATTTAAAATTTGTGCAACCAATCAAGACGGGCTCGAACGAATTAAAAGAAAAAATCATATATATATATATATATATAACATGTGTGAGAGAGTGTGCATACGCATGTGTGTTTACGCGCGTGTGAAAGGAATGAACGATTGATGCGAATAATATATGTTTGCCCATCTGGATGCTATCAACTCATCTCACACTCTTGTCGGCATGTAGCGAGGATATGTGAGAGCATTTTGATTTCTTTGTCGTTTAATCAGCAATCGTTCATCGCCATTTTAAATCAAATCGACAAAAGAGTGTATTATACATAGTGTTATTGTGGTACATATATGATGGAAACATATAGCCAACATACAGCCAATAGAAAGGTACGAAAGTCGAAAATAAAATAAAAAAATGTGATGCCAATGCTGAGCACCAACCGATTTTATTCGCAATAGAAACCCGAAAAAAAAACGTTTCAAATGAAAATGCCACGGTATACCATTATCGAAAAATGAATTCCATTTTCAAAACACATGGCAATGATACCGAATAAACAACAATAAATGACGACAATTCCATGACAAACAATGTGCGTCGCACATACTTTATGGCAATATATAAAAAACGCTGGATGCCAAATTGAAAAGTCAATATCATTCAAGTATTACTAGTATCTATATAGTGGGAATGTTCACATTTTCGATTACAATGTGTTTTATTTGTTTTTCGTTTTGCCAAATTCGTGCATAGTCATTACATTGCCCAGGTAGAAGAAAAACTAGATAGTGTATGTGTCTATTTGTGTTTGTGTATTAAACGAGTCGTCACTGACAACGCTTTTTATGATATTCTTTGTGTCACGACGCCAACAACACTCTTATGGGCCATATAGGTTTTTTTTTCTTCTCTGATTTCAAATCATCTTAACCGCGTATATAATAGTAATGATATAACACGTGAGCCAAATATTGTGGACTGCCACATCTGTGTTATGCTAACCAAAAAAAAAGCTATGTGCGCAGTTTTCATATTTTTTTGCTTTCGTCTTCTTTAATAGATGTATATATATTCAAACAAATGCCAAGGTTATTATAAAATAGCGAAAACAGAATATTCGTCTATTGCTGGTATTTGCCTGTTGTTGTTTTTTTTTTTGTCCTCTCAAAATATGATTGTTATTACGATCACAATTTGAAGAGACTCAATTTAATATTTGTAATAAAACTATGTGCAAATGAATATTTATTACAATTGCTCGAATATTTGATGAGCCGACCAATTTTGTTTTGTTTTGCCGTGACAAACGAACACGAGAGTCGGAGAGAGAGAAACATAAATACGCTTATTTGTTTTCAAATTTTTTATTTTGAATATCGACTGATTAATAATTGAAAATTCTTTAAATGAAACGTCAGCGTAAAGTACACGCGGATCGATCCAATGTGGATGTGCATGTCTGTGTGTTTTATTATTATTATCGAAATTCGTTGCACTACACCTCATTTACAAAAATGTCGATTAATGTTTTCGCATTTCTTTCAATTACAGATAAATAAACCGGCGTCGCCGAAAAATGTACCAGTGTCTCCGGTTGCTTTGGATAAACGGCCAACTCAACCGAAACCGAACAAAGCACAAGGTAGTGTACCGTCTTATTTATTTAATATGAAACTTTTTTAAAAAATGTTCAAATAAATTAATTTTCGACAAAATCTTTGAAGATGGCAAAGATGGTAAAGAGATCAAATCTGGAAATCCAGAACGTCAAAATGGTCCAGTTGTGGTGAAGGCATCAAAGGATAAAAAGAAAATTAATCAAAAGGTATGTGATTCGAAGAAATCAACATTTTTGTAGTTTATTTAAAGCCAAAATGGTCATTTATTTTCGAAATCAAAATTCACACGGCAACTAATCCAGGTTATGATAACATTAGCTAACACACATGGTCATTCTTGGTGTTGCCGGTATAATAACGATAAATACGTGGTTATGTTTGCTATGTGTCAAATGTTCATATTAATTGCGTTTGGGTGTGTGTATCGATGTGACTTTGTATGTGACGAGAGTGAATAGAAAAGATATTCCAGTAACACAGGCACTGCTATTTGTAATACAAACCAGCCCAACAAAACGGAATAGTGGGATGAAATAGTATGCAAAAAACCAACAACAACAACAACACATGAGAGAGATACGTGCGATACATATGACACTTGGACAAGAATGTGAATGTACAAGTGTATAGTGACAGATAGAGAACACGTATTGATGAATGTGCATTTGTGAGAGTACACGTTGTTCGTTTCTCGTTTCGATTGCGTTTCTCTCCATTCACACACGACATGGCACTTTAAGCAAAACACGTGGTTTTCGTGATATTTAAACAGACTTTAATGGTCTGTACTTGTAATTTGCTTTTTAACCAATAAAAAAAAATTATGTTTTTTTTTTCATTCTCTAATTACTCTGTCAACACGATCGATTGAACTTGAAAATGCACAAATATTTGGATGAATGTCTGTTTTTAAACGAATGAATTGTTGTTTTTCTCTTCCAAATATTAAAATGATGATGATATGACGTAACAAAAAAAAACATCTCTATTTCTTTTTTCGATGTAATATTATAGGCTAGTGATTTTTCAAATGTTGGCGATTGGCCGTCCCTAGGCAAAGGAAACCCATCAGTTTCGACTGTTGTTGCATCAACAACAACAGCGGCAACCACAACAACAACAACAACCATAACCACTCCACCAGAACAACCGTCAAATGATGTAGTTAGTAGCACGAAAACAAATGCAGAATCGAATGAGACTCGAGCACTTCCCGATAAATCGGTAATTTCAAATAGTCTTTCTTCTTCTATTTATCTTAATTCCTTCCTGTCCCCATTTTTTTGACTTTGTTTAATCGGTTTCACTATCTCTTGCAATGGTTATCAGAGAGTTAATCGCATTTCTTTTCAAAATTTAAAAGAAAATCATATCATTGGATATCCAAATCGGATTGCGGCCTCTATTTTTTTTTTTTTTTTATTTAATCTCAATGCTATTATCCCGTCTGTCTATCGTTCTTTTTCTATTCTCTGAACTAATATATCCATATGATGCATTAAAACTAAGTCCTCTTTTAAACAGACATTTTCGAATCGATCGACATCAAATAATCATGTAAATAAGGCAAATAGTGCAGCGCCGTCTACAACGTCCCATTTAAAAGTAGCCAACAATCGTTCAGCTCAACAAAATGAGCCACAATCAAATGAAAATGCGCCATCACAACAGACTCTGTCGCCAGCATCAACAACGGTGAGTGCAACACATGAAATGACCACAACAACAGCTCCAAATGGTGTTATTCCAAATGGTCATGTATCAAATAATCAAACGAACCAGACCAATAATGCCAACAACAACAATAACAACAATAACAACAACAACAGTAATAATAATTTGAACAATCGCAAAGGGGTCAAATCAAAATGGGTTCCATTACCAATAGAATTACCAAAATCACGAAAGCCACGCGAACCACGAGAACGTAATAATAATATAAGCAGCAATAAAAATCGACGTGATACTGACAATGAATTGAATACCGACTATTCAAATAGCAATGAAACGAACGAAGCCAAAACGCATTTGGAAAAACTGGTAAATTTTCACGACATACATTTTTACATTAAAACAAAACACAATCATCATCATAAAACATGATTATTGTCACACGGTGGTTTGGACACCAAATTTTCACGAACCTTTTTTGTTAATTGGAAGACTTTTCAATAATTTTCCATTTTTGATAGTTGCCACTGTTTCTCTTACTATATTTATATTTTTATGTATTTTAAATTTACGTGTATTATTCGTTTCGAGACTGTATTTGCTATATCATTTCCAATTCAATTCGCCGTTCATTTGCAGAAATATCCAAATCGACGCTATCGTCCAACAAGTACACGTGGTCCACCCAGTAGTAATGCACATCCAATCAGCAAACCATTGGCCAATTCATCTCATCGACCGAGCACTGTTAGCAACAATACAACATCAACACGTTCGACCAATACCACAATCAGTTCGAAGCGTCCTGGACCGGTGCGCAGCAGTGGTGGCATACCAAAATCACGAGTAAATCGCATCTCAAGCCATCATCATAGCCAAAATGGTGAATACGCTGTCGAATATCCGGTCGATTTCTCGCTAGTCAAAAAACTTGTCACTGACAATGCGGCGGCACCAATTTTTATGCCTTACATGGGAACATACTATTATAATGGCGTGCCTTCATATGCAAATATGGACCCGACGAGCTTAAAGGAAGCGATCCGAAAGCAAATGTATGCATACATTTTTAATTGATGATTTATTGCTGATTTGTCTTAATGGCTTATTGTTTTTCTATTTTTATTTTTTCGGTTGTGCTGCGTACAGTGAATATTATTTCAGTGATGAAAATCTGCAACGTGATTTCTTCATTCGCCGAAAGATGGATGCCGAAGGTTATTTGCCAATAACATTGATTGCGTCATTCCATCGTATCCAAGCACTTAGCTCTGATATTCAAGTTGTATTGACTGCCGTTCAGGAATCCGATCAACTTGAGGTCTTTAAAAATTTCAAAGTTCGCACTAAAAACGATCCAACCAAATGGCCGATTAAGAATATACCCGGTGAAGAGAATCACAGTCATAATCATCATCAATTGGGTACATATTTAAAGCATAAAATTGAAATGAAGCTCAATTAACTGAATTGAATTTTGATTCTATTTTATTCTTTAGATTCCAATGCAACTTCGAAAGCAGTCAATCCGGTCGCAATTTCATCGAATAATTTGCCACCAGTTTATGGAATTCCAGTTGTACCGATTATTGCATCCACTACGCTTACATGTGTACCACCCCCGCCGACACCACGAAATTTTCGTATACCTTTGAATGCTTCGATACCGCCTGACACACTGCCAAATAATATTGTAAACAGCACAAATAGTGAACACGCAAATGACGATGGAAATTTAAATCCAGATGTTCCTGAATTTGTTCCTGATTTTTTAGGTTTGTATCGAAAATGGAACGAGAGTGAAAGAGAGAGAAAGAGATTTAAATTTTGATTTTTCAAATTTTCTCACTTCATTTCAAATACAGGAAAATCAAATGAAACCAATTTGTCGAATCCAAAAAACTCCGAAGCTACTAGATTGCAGAAAAAAGAGGGCAACCGTCTGCAGTCTAGTACTGTTGCTAATACAAAAAACCACGGAAATCCAAATCCGAATCGTACAAAGGCCAATGTAAATGCAAATCCAAATATGAATGCAACAGATGATGAATTAGGTGAAAATGAAGAATCTGATCTTTGGCGTCAGGTAAAACGTCGTTCAAGAACCAGTTCAAAAGAACCATCCGGTGGACCAATAACAAATGTAACGACACAACCGGCCACATCACAAGCGCAGCAAACAACGAATCAACCAGCAGCATTATCGGCACAATCCGCACCACAACCACCACAACCACAACAATCCCAATCAATTGAAAAAGAAGATTTAGATTTTCAATTCGATGAAGAGTTGGACATCCCCATTGGGCGTGTCAATAATTTCACCGACAATTGGTCCGACGATGAGTCGGACTACGAACTCTCGGATCGGGATATAAATAAAATTTTGATTGTGACGCAAGTTCGGCATCGGGCACCAAAACATGATGGATACAATCGTACCGGTGACTTTGTATCACGAACAAAAATCACCCAAGATTTGGAACAAGTCATTAACGATGGCCTGCATAATTACGAAGAAGATTTATGGACACATGATGCAAATCCAAGCAGCAGCTATAAAACGCTTAATATTATCACACAAGAAGATTTTGAAAAAATGGCTCCAAAAATGACAAAGAAAAATCCAGATGTGCCTCCACCACCACCGCCAACCTATGATCAAAACGATCGACTGAATATAAGCACTGGTTCCGGTCTTGGTTCGAAGAAGGCACGATTCTTTGCCGTTAACAAAGAGGAATTCGTTGATCCACGAACACCGCGTAAACGTAAGACACGACATTTGAGTAATCCGCCAGTCGAATGTCACGTCGGTTGGGTAAGTGTCCACATATTTCACTCAATTAAATATGCATATACTAATGAATAAATTTGAAAAAAAAAAAAAAACAAACAGGTCATGGACACCGTTGAACACAGACCAAGAACATCGAGCTTTGGCAGTTCAGCAGGTACGTCGCCAGCATCGAGTTATGGTTCATCGGTTCCACAGAGTTTGCCAATGTTCCAACATCCATCACATGCATTGCTTAAGGAGAATAATTTCACACAACAAGCTTATCACAAATATCACAGTCGTTGCTTAAAGGAGCGCAAACGTTTGGGCCCAGGACAATCGCAAGAAATGAATACTCTCTTCCGGTTTTGGTCATTTTTCTTACGTGAAAATTTCAATAAAAATATGTACAATGAATTCCATCAGTTGGCATTGGAAGATGCTGCATCCAATTTTCGATACGGTTTGGAATGTTTGTTCCGTTTCTATTCGTATGGTTTGGAAAAGAAATTCCGACCATATTTATACGAAGACTTTATGAAAGAAACATTGGCTGATTATGAGAAAAGTGAGTTTTTTCAACGATAAAAAAAAAAAAAAAATCAAACATAAAACGAACACATTTTATCATTGTTTCAGATCAATTATATGGTATTGAAAAGTTTTGGGCGTTTATGAAATACTACAAGAATGCAGACAAGCTAACGGTTGAGCCACGTCTGAATGAATACTTATCGAAATTTAATACGATTGAAGATTTCCGTGTATTAGAGCCACAAATCAATGAAATGCTTGAAGGTGTACGTAATTTGCAATCACCGGACAAACGACGCCATCGCAGCATATCAGAAAGTGAAGGGGTTGTAAGTCCACACTCAAAAATAAATCGTGGCGATTTTACCCAAGGACGTAATGAAGCTAATTATAATCGAAAAAGGTTTGACCCAATTCCAATTTACAATTAAATAACAAAACAAAAAATCGAATTCTTGAATTTTCTAACGTAACGTGGTCTTTTCTTTAAATATCGATACACAGATGTGATTCATTCGGAAATCGTGCAGTTACAGCAACTTCTAGTCAAAATCGCAAAACAGGCCCTGGCGGTCGTGTTCGCAGCGGTTCAACTGGAAATCGACCTCAAACGGCAATCAATCGTCAACAAAATCATATCCAAATTCAATCGCAACAAAATTCACAATCGAATCAGGTATATACTTATACATATTTTATACATCGTCCACTTTTTTTTTCACAATAAAAACCGATTTTATCTCATTTGTTATAAATTCAAAATTACCAAACGATTCTAAAATTAAAAAAAAATGTTAAAATTATTATTATTAGCAACAACAAAAACGACAAACGTTTACCATTCGAGAGCCACCGCATCAGCAACAATCACAACAACATAATTTTGCCGCACCACGCAAAGGTTTGCTTAATATGAATAGTCACATAACGTCGTCGTCATCGAATGCCAATACTGATAAGGATGCAAAATTAGTACAAAATAGCAAAGATAATAAAGAAAATTTGGCCGACAAAATTTCAAAAAAGAGCAGTGAAAAGGATAATTGTGCTGGAAACACAGCCACAAATACTGGTACTGCTGGCAGTAATTCGGCAACGACATCTTCCAATTTGGTTACAGCTGGTAATGGTGCAGTCGCAAACAAGAAATAAACACGCTCCCACACTACAACACAACTATAACACAACTACCACAACTATTATCAACATACCCGCCACCCTCCATCGTTCCACTTCAATCAACACGTGCTTCATTCCTAATTCGTTCCGAACGTTTAGAATGGCACCTAGAGAAGATGAAAACAACAACAAAATACAAAACACAATTGAAAAGAAAAAATTGTGTTAACGATCGACATCTCACGAGTCGAGTGGACGATTGTTAGCAATGATTCGTTAAATAGTAGGTAGCACGCGCATTTTTGTGCCAAATATCGTTTTCTTACATGAACGAACACATTTTCAGAAAAAAACAATAGCAAAAAAGCATTTCCTATCATCGATTTAGTTTGAATTCTATTTTATATTGAGTGGCTTGAATCGCTTTCTCTCTCTCTCTGATCTTTTTGTTTTGACATAGACAAAAAAAAAAACAAAATATCGATGCATTTGCAATTAGCTACCAATTCAAAACATAGTGAATTGAATGTACCAAAATCAAGACGTGAATGAGCACCAATGCATGTGCATTGCATTGATACGTCGCCACTTTTAAGCAATGGATTCAAATTACCTAACCAATGAACTCAATTAGAAATGCTACACACACATACACACAAAACATCCATTGATTTTTTTTTTTAAGTTGTTATGCAAAAAAGCGATTTGCTATTAAAAAAAACATTAACTAAACAAAAAAAATAAAATATATAAACACAGGAATTATACATACGTGACGCATCATAAATATATGCAACACGATCAGAAAACAAGCGGATAAAAAAAATTTAAACTATATATCAGCCAATCAAACAATACTAATTATATTTTACAATTTAATTGTGAGGTTATGCAGAGAAAAAAAAACATTTTAGAACTTATACACACAATATTCTAAAAAGAAAGAAAGTAAAAAAAAAAATCACAAAAAAATTATGGATAATAATTTAAAAAAAATGTATGGTAACGCTCTTATTTTTGTAAGTTTGAAAAAGACCTCGATAATCTAATTTCTATTGACTTACAGTAGTTCACATACACACCGAATGGTAAAAATGAAAAATTATCTTATTTTTTTTGTTTGTTTTTGGTTGAACATTGTTCGAATGGCCCAATACATTTCGCAAAATGAGTGAATGGGTAAACCACAAACACATACACACACATACACTTCAACGAAAACCAATTCAATAAATATTTAAAAATGAAAATAAATGAATAGAAATCATTAAATAAATTGGTACATATATTAAGTTAAAAAATGAAAGTCGCATCCTCGGCAGAAGAAAATTGCGTCTCCGCAAAAGGAAAAAAAAAGAACATATGTTATACTTTATTGTAGATTTAGTTGATGGTGAGAAAAAAAATCTGTTTTTTTTTCTTCTTTCGTATGTCGCTCAATGAAACAAATTAATAAACTGTATCTAAATGATGCTTATAGAAACAATACACGCATTTAACAAAGACCATTGTTTTGAAGCGATACAAACAAAAGAAAAAAAATTGAATGAAAATGCAAGCAAAAAATGTTATTTATTCTTTTATAGCAATGCGTATTAATTGAAAACAAACAAACAAACAAACAAAAAAAAAACCACGTTCGACAAACCCAAATGGTGTTCACGTAACGAAAAGCAAAAAAAAAAGTATATTGACTATTAATCAAACAATCAAATAGACTTATTAAATAAGATTATGAGATGAAAATGAATATGCTGATGATAAAAAAAAAATCACGAGCGAGTGAAGAGAATTTAAATAATACAAAAAAAAATATCTAATATATATATTTTAATACCGTAAATTAAATGTTTTTTTTCATTCGTTTTTGTTTAATAGTAATTGGCAATTACTGAATTAGTGAAATGTAAAGAAAAATCATGCAAAAAAAACGAAAAAAAAAGTTTATATGAAAAATGCAAAAAGATTGATAGATTAAAATGAATATGTTATTCGAGTATATAGTTCAACGAGAAAAATTAAAAAATTAAACAAAAAAAAATTATACATGTCGCGAAATGGTGTGGTGTAAGCTAAAAAGCAGCCCAAATAGTGAAGAAAACAATCTTCCAGAAATGAATTAGAAAAAAAGCGGCCATTGATTTGGATTCTGTTTCAAACACACACACACACACAATTCCACCAAATAAAAACAACGATATTTTGAAATATTTCTGAGCGCCGTTCACATTTAGCAGTTGTTGTATTTGGTTATTTTCGTAAATTCCTTTGAAATAATTGTTGCGCATCACTGTAATACACAATAATGATTCTCATATTTTTCTTGTGATTGGTCTCATTGAATGTGTGTTTCAGGGCTTGCAAGCAACTTTTAATTCTAGAAGAATATGAATATTATTTTTTTTGAGTCTGCTTTCAACGCCACGGAGATATTCTATATTCGTTTTTTTTTTCGATTGAACATACAGAAACAACAATAAAAATAAACTATTACAAAATTATATACACCAAAAGCAAATATTAAATTAGAGTTAACTGTTCATAACTACCGAAACATGGAGTTCTATAACCGCACGAATCCACATAGATTTATATGTTCAGGTTTTTTTTTTTAATTTTATTAAAACTAATTTTTATGAAACAAACCAGTTTTTCAATCACTATTACAAATTATAATTTATTTCATTTATAGCCGAATCAGAAATTTAGGTGCTGGCGATATAAATATTTAAACGAGTGAAACATGATTTTCTTTTTAATTTTCTTCAAACAGGCCAATTGCTATGCAACATGAAAAATTCTATTGAAACAATGGATGATTCAAATTGGATTTTTTTTTTTTGGGTTTTAAATTTCAAACGGATTTTTATGAACACGAAATGATAACAAGTCATGGTTTCAGCCATTTGGACTTTTTTTTCATTTTTACAAACACCACAACAAATTTGCTAAGTTTTATTCCCAAACGATGAGCTCTCAACATATACATTTTCAGATCTCTCTATTTTGGACAAAATGTGTATTCATACCAATATTACTACTATTTGATTCTTTTTCGTCTTTGGCAAACAGGCGCTGCCGAAAATAACCAATAAAAGAGAAAACATTTTTCATTTTTTCAACCAAATGTGTTACATCGAACTTAAACAAAAATGATAATCCATTTATTATTGGATATGATAATTTCATTTTTCACTATTTTGTGTGACAAACAATAAACCCACATACACACACCGTCTCCAGTCATCAATTTTTCAAATAAAGAACAAGAAATAACAGACCAAAAAATGATACATACATTTGAGTATTATGTTAGAATAGCTGATTTCATTTATAACTACCCCCCAACTCCAATTCAATGATAATGCAAACGGCATTAGAAATAGTTTGGCTTTGATCGTTCCTTTTTTCGCGCATAGCTTGAATTCTTTTTCGTATCGAAGAGCAATCTACCATCAATCAGCAATGCTGTAATGTAGTATAAAATTCAGCTTTTTTTGTTTTGCTTGATTCTTCAACAATATTTCCATTTTTAAAATCTCTTTTTTTTTGCTCAAAATTTTTTTGAATACATGTTCGGTGTTAAAAATTAAATATGTATTCATACATATTTCTACTGATTTTTTTTTTATTTTGAAAAAATTCTATATGAACTCTTTGGTTCAAATTCTTTGGGGAATTTTTTTTGACACACATGTTAACATTGCACACATTATAAAAATTATCTGCTCGTTTATTTATGTATTTCAAACGAAAAAAAATCTTTTTCAATTAAATTCAAATTTATTTATGTGTGAAATACAAAAAAAAAAAAATTACACTCATTATTGAAATTAAGCGACAAAAAAAAATGTGTAACTGGGGGTCTTTTCAAAATTAATTTTAACCACCACCCCATCACCGTCATACTGCAATCCCCCTACATAAATGGATATCTAAAAAAAACTATACTGTATAATTAAGTTTCAATTTCGAATTGATTTGGAGTTTAATACAAACATGATACACGACATGAACGAATTATGTTCGCAGAAAGCATTGAAAACGACAACAGCAAATACAGAATTATTATACAAATTAGCCAAAGCTGGAAAATCATTTAAAATAATAAGAACGCGATACCGAATGAAATAAATATATTACATCCCTATAAAAAAAACCATATTTTATAACTAGTGATTACACACGCCCGGCTAAATGTGAGCACGGAAATTTGTAAAAAAGTGAAGAAAAAAAAACGAACAAAAAAAAATAATTGAAAAAAATGCAAAAGAAAATATTGACAAAAAAAATGAGAATGCTGCAAAAATGATGATATACTAAAAAAATGAATTGAGTTTGTTAATTAATTAATATGATGAGTAAATTTAACATTTAAAATAAATAGTTGTAAGAATCAAAAGGAGCTCGTTTTTTTTCTTTCATTTTAGTCTAATTGCATTTAAACGATTCTATGTAAACTCGACTACAGACGATGTGCCATCCATGGATATGGTTGCCAGACATCAGGTGAAAGCGCATTTTTGCATTGCACACGGTTCAAACGCTACGATTTTCAAATGGTTTGTGATAAAGATTTTCGTGGCAGCACATGATTAAATGATAAAATATCAGTTTTCGTTGTTCAGTACACACACACACACACACATGCCGCATCAGAATAGCGTACAATGGTGCAAATAGATGGGCGGAGGATTGAGCGCACGCACAAGAAAATCACTGCTCTACTGTATGTAGTCGTAGTGTGCAATGTTATAAAATGCTGCATGATTAATGATAATATTTTATATTTAACAAATGATATCCGAACGCTGGCATTAAATCTATTGCACATACACGACCGAAAACGGGACACTCTGAATCATTTATACTCGAAATAGGTGTGTGTATGTGAGTGTGCTGTATGACTTTCTTTGTCACGAATCACACGGATTGCGCTATAGAAATTTTCGTATATTTCTAATTACCATAAAATTAATCACGGCAAAACATACATCCAAGCATTACAGCTCGCGTTTAATAGAAGCGGCCGCACACCCTCTCTCTCTTACATATTTTAACACATTCACTCTTTGCATGATCACAAGCATAGCCATGTTAAGTCTGGCGTGTGGAGCATGTTCCGTCACTTTTTATGGGGTTTGCATTAAAACCTCTTTCATTACATTTATGTTCCGATGTTCATGCATTCTTTACTTATTGTGAACCACCGATTTATCAGTAAGCTTGTTGGGTCTACGTACATTTGTCTGACGTGTATTTGTATAGGTGAGTATAGTATATGGCCGATGGCACGAGCGACGCTTGTCAGAAACGCACCCAGGGAGATATCGGGCGGGGGTGGTGGTGCATGGTTGTTGGTGTCGAGTATATGTTTGCGCAAATGTATATTTATACCATCTTGGATTCACGCTTGAATCGTGTGTTCCATTCCAACAGTTGAGCTGAAAGCGCACGTTTTTTATATAATTTTTCTCATTTGGCGCTCTCGCGACTCAAATATTGGGTCATTCATAAATTTTATTACCTGCAACATTTCGGAAATTAATTAGTAAGCCTTATCTGGTTGCTGTTTTGCTGGCTACAAATTTCCAACTATTTTTCATTGCAGACATGTAATGCTTCTCACACCCCTCAGCACTCTTGCACTTTACTCTATCTCTCTCTCCTCTCGATTATCATCATACGCAATGCTGCTGAAAGCGAATCTTTAAAATGTCATATCGTGTTCGTTTGGTATTGGCGGCTGCATAAGCTCCATCACCAGCAACGGTAACAACAAGGACACATGGACGAGTCACAGTCGAATGGGAAACGGTAGAGATGCAAAGTATCGGAACCGATTCGCTAGATAAATGCAATTCATATGTCATTTTGTTAAAGCCATAAATGAACCTTCCCATAATGTCTAAAATATTTTAATGAACGGAAATTCATTAAAATCACGTCGTGCGCGAATTCCGAACGTGCTGTTGATCAATGAGTTTAAAGTTTGAACAAAAAAAAAATTGTGTACGTTTTAGCCACACACACACCATCGTGTAAATCATAATGTAATACATTGCCAACGCGCTTGTTATTAATTTCAGATCAAACAAATATTTGCTTTATTTGTTACCACAAAACTAGATTCAATTACACTTTCAGCATTCGCCATTCATCATACTCTCGTTGATTCATTCGTCCGTCACCGTCTTCGTCGTTTCCTATTCAAACATTAAATTGCACAACATTCAGCTACATTTGTATATATATGACAAAAGATATACAGCGCCAGAAAAAGTTGGAGAAAAGAATCGCGTGGCCACAAGCTAGAATAAAACTTTCGATGAATTCTTTTCTTCGAGTCAAAACTTTTTCGGACATCACCTTTATAGCTACTGTTATTGATGTGCAATTTGTCTTTATCACTTTTATTTGAAATGCACTTCATTTTCCGTTTTCAGTTTTCCATTTCTTTGTTCGTTCCGTTGTCTTGCTCCGTTCACAGTACGAGCACTTGCTCTTTGAGAGGGAAAGTGGTTACATATACAATTCAATCGGTACGCCTTTCAGTTGAAACGCATCCCTGAGCTGTGCAACAATTGTTCGACGAAAAATTGAATTTTCGATGTCGATGAAAAATAAAATGAAATAAAGTGCAGCACTGACAATCTTTCAATAAATTCATAAAACCTCTTCGGATTTCCTAACTGCATTTTTACATTTCCCACTGGAGACAATTAGTTTGATGTTTGCTGCACTTCCTGATCATCCTATAAGTCCATAAAATTTCGATGAGTTTCTTTTCTTGCTCACTCGTTTATTTGTATTCTATATAGACATTTTTTTCTCTTCAATCATCCTTTTTTTCTCGGTTCGTTCTCAGTTTTGTTGTTGTTCTTCTGTTCGCTAACTCTCTCTGCTGCTGCTGCTTTTTTCGTTTTATGTGCACAATATTTCGTTGGTATTTCTCGTTTTTGTAGTTATCCGTCGATCCGACTGCATATTTTATTCATTTTTAACAATTTATGTGCTGTGTACTGTGTGCGCTTCGCTCGACGAGCATCAAGCATATTCTTTCATCGTTTTTTTTTTCTTCTTCTTCAACTACTCGAATTGCCGTTTGCCTTGTTATTGTTGCTCTCAGTTGTCATCAGACTTTTTTTTGCGGCGTACAAAGTGAGCAGACGAGGGTAAGTATATTTATTTCTGTGTTAAAAAGAGAGAAAGAGAGGATGCAGATATATAACGAGAGGTGGAATGAATTCGGTTTATTTTTCGAAAGTCCACAAATGATTGTATCAACAGGAGGATTATGAGAAATAGAGAGAGTTTAGCATAGACCTATGTGAAGGAGTTATTTCATTTAGTTCATAACTGGTGTGACGCATAGGAAATCTTCAAAATCAGTAGTAATCGCTATTTATTAATAGAAATTGACCATTACCATTTAGTTGGGAAGCAAAAAAATGTCAACGCGACAAGAAGATGAACATTTTCAGACGGGAGTTTACCGACCGAAGCCCGACCCGAAATTATTTTTTTTTACCGAAACCCGCGATTCCCCGAACTCGGGCACTCGGTATTTATTGAAATTTCGGGTCTAACGTCCCCGTATTTTTAAGAAGATTTAACTGATACAAAAAATGAAAAAAAGGT